TCGCTTGAGATTTGCGCACCGTTCACGGTGGGGAAGCAAATACAAGGCGAGTCGTTGTCAACATGTGGCTATCGCGTCAGCGCCCCGCGCACTCTTGTCGAAATGTCACAAGAAACTACATTGCTGGAAGGCGGATCGTTTTCGGAACGGAGTTGTCGCCCCCGCGCCGCGCACACCGTCTTGCACATTTCACGCAGCTACAAAAATGGAAGGCTGTCCGTTCTAAAATGGGGCTGTCGTTTTAGGACCGCGTGCTTCCGGCCTGCAAGCGTACAACAGTTGTAATTACAGATGGAGTGCGGTGTTTTTCTAATTGAGGCTGTCGCTTGCGTCTTCCGCAGGCTTCATGGAGGAGGAGGAGGAGGAGGAGGAGGAGGAGGAGGAACAGGAGGAGGAGGAGGAGGAGGAGGAGCAAGGCGCAAGGCGCAAGCGCAATACTAAGATTGTTCGTCATGCTAAGAATCACAGCGGCCATGTTACAAATAGCAAGAGTGCTGACAATACTACCTACACGACTGCCGTTCGGGTGATAAGGAGGTTGTGTGTGGGGGGGGGAGGGGGGGAAGCTCTTTTCCCCACCCGTGCCCTCGCGTCCAGCGCCCACGCGCGCGCAGCGAGACCCGCCAGACGGAGCCGCGGCGCGAGCGCGGTGATGTCCTCCGCGTGGCCTTGGCATCGCTCGGACGTGTGCATTTGGCGATCCTGGATCATCTGGCAAAAAAAAAAACATGCACGCAATCGAATGATACCGGAAAAAAAACCCAATCATGATATGTTTAGGGCTTAGGATTACGGGGCTATAGGGCTATAGGACCATAGGGCTATCGGTTTGTAGGGCTATAGGGCTATAGGGCGATAGGCATATAAAGCGATAGGGCTATAAGGGCTATAGGGCTATAAGGCTACAGGGTTATAGGACTAAAGGGCTATAGGGCTATGGGGCTATGGGGCTATAGGGCTGCAGGGCTATAGGGCTATAGGACCATAGGGCTATAGGGCTATGGGGCTATGGGGCTAGAGGGCTGCAGGGCTATAGAGCTATTGTGGCTATATGGTTATAGGGCTATTAGGGCCAGCCACTGAAATCGGTGACGCACCTCACCTAACCATATGAATCCGCTAGGATCCCTACAGAGGCAAGCTCTGATTGGGGAAAAATGCACGGGGAATGGACGTCCTAGCGATGGCGAGTTGCCCATGGCCCACCGCACCACGTCGCTGCGCGGGCGCGCCTGGCGCAGGGGGGCTGCCGCAGAGCACGCGGTCAGCAGGTGTCTGAGGCACGCCACTGGCGTACAAGCCTCTGGAGCCAGAGCGGCGTAGAGCGGGCACGCGCCCGGGACAGCGGCGACCCCTTCGGTCACCCATACTGCCACTGGAGCGCGGCCAGACGCCCGCTCCATTGCCCAGGCCTGGTAGCAACGCCACATCGTATGCCCCCACGGCGCCCACCGTGCGCCAGGGGAAGGCGACCCCCGCACTTGAAGCAATTCCGGGTAGGGGACGAGTCCACAGGTACCCAGCGCGCCCAGTTGCCTGATGAACCATGCTTGGTCGCACGCCTGGACGGCGGCAGGGAGGGAGGGAGGGAGGGAGGGTGGGAGGAAGGAGGGAGGAGGAGGAGGAGGATGAGGAGGAGGAGGAGGACGAGGTCCACTGTAAATCCAAGATTCGTTAACGATGTTGGAATACACCCTCCCTCCAAGCTTCCCCTCATAGGCCCATACAAGGGTTCATTCCAACTGAGGGAATTCCCCCCCCGGGGACAACCGTGTGAAAATCCTGAAGCGCGCCAAAGCACCATTCTCAGGATTTCAAGGCCACGAGTTAACCTGACTGTTGCGTCTTGACGATCCTGAATCACGCCAGAACATCATTCCTGGGAAATCAAAACCGCGACTCAACGTAACTGTTGCGCCCTGACAGTCCTGAACCGTTCCAAGACACCGTTTCTGGTACGTTAACCATGAGAACCAGTTACACGCTTGCAAATGTTTCAACGAATATGCGAGGCGCTAAAGCGAGAGCCACATGTTGAAAAGAAACCGCCCTCAATCCGTGAAGCTTTTCAAATTGAAAACGAATGTACGAGACGCCAAGGCGAGGGCCACAATTTGAAAACTACCCGCCCTCGATCCGTGAAACTATTGCGAATTGTTGAAACGAATGTGCGCGGCGCCAAGGCGACAGCCATATGTTGAAAGCCACCCGCCCTCAATCCGTGAAACTGTTGATAATGTTTCAATCGAATGTGCGCGGCGCCAAGGCGAGAGCCGCATTTTGAAAACGGCCCGCCCTCAGTCTTGCACATTGTTTATACGAATGTGCGCGGCGCCAAGGCGACAGCCACATGTCGGAAGCGGCCCGCCCTACATATGTGAAGTTGTTGCAAGTTTCTGAGCTTCAGGATCATACATAGTGAGGGAGTCTCATGCGGATCGCCTTTCCCGCCCTTTCGACCGGCCTCGGAATGCGACAGGGGAGAGTTGTTTAGGAATGG